ATTTAGCGTTACCATATGACCTACACTTCAGTGACACCTCTCAAATAACGGTGAGCAGACTCATGTAAATGAGACACATTTATGTTAATAAGATTAAGTGTAAGAATTTTCTTAGTAGATTATTTCATTGCATGAATCACGATGGCGGTTCTACTATTTAAAGTATAAACCTCACAACCAAAATAAATCTGCAAATGGGGGAACAAATAATATGATATGACATGCAACACAAAGCGAGAAGTTTCAAGGAAATTCAAGCATTTTAATTAGCCGATTAATTTGACGTCATGGAAAGTGACCCAATACCCAAAAGAACATGATGGCTAACAAAGACTATCCAACTTTGTTTCAACCACTAAATTCCGATCAGCCCCACATTGATCAATGATCACTCTTCATTTTCATGTCCTAATTTCACTGTTCCATGGACCATAGTGCTTCAAAGTTTCAAATATTTCCATGACGATCATCTCAAGACCTTTTTTCTCCTCTCTGTACTGAAACTTTGTACCCTCCTCCCCTTGATGCCAGAGTACACATCACTTTTCCAGTTCTGTGTGATCTTTTCACCAACAGTGCCATTTTGATGATCCAAGTCATTGCAAAATTGCAATCAGAAGCAAGTGGGCACTATCTGGTGTTGTTGGTGTTGTGAAAAATACCCTTCAATCACATTCTTTGGTCTTTACACAAGCTATGATATATATGCACCCACGTTCTCATTCCTAGGGCATAGGGGTTAGGGGGCCCGAACAAATATCTTTCCACTCTTACCATATATATGAAAAGTCACATTTTCCCACTCTTTTCTATATTTTTGAAATGTTATTGACCCACTTTTTTTGTCGCAAACTCAAGTCTCGCTTTCTGTCGTTGTACATAATATTTTTGTGCTCACAGAAGTCGTTCATATTGATTCATCACATTATTTGTCAGAAGCGCTTATGAGCAGAAGTCTTTTCATATTGCTTATTAAAGAAGCACTCTCAAGTGCTTTTCCAGGAAGTACTTGGATTTTTTTATATAAAAATTCAAGATTTTTATTATAAAAACACTTTTATTAGAAGCGCTTATGAGTAGAAGTAGTCCCAAATGAGCCCTAATTGTATATGCTGAAAATGGGTATGACAAGTCCACGACAGTTGCTAAATAATATGATGAGCAGTCATCTAATGAAATTTCAAAATAATTCATGTAGCTTTACTCTTAAAGTCAATATTGTTATGTCATGTAGTGTGCTTAGATATGCTTTGGTGCAATAACAATGTTCTCTAAAACTATATATCCTTATATAGAAATTTCAATTCACTTGGTAGCTAAAGATGAAAAACGGGATTTGACTTGTTATTTTTTATTTTAGAAGAAACCCCACTTGGATTATGGTGAAATCATATTGATCCCGTGGATCAAAATCCACCTTGAAACAACACATTTTACATGGTAGTTAGTTAGTAGACTTTTCTAAAGCAAACGCCATGATGATCCAAGTGACTTTATCCAATTTTGAAGTTTGGTATACGAATTACGAGTTTGGGTTAATCTTACATAACCCAACAACTGAAGTTTGATCCAAGTAACTGTCCCAACAATTGAATTTTTCTTAAAACACCTCATTTCAAATATGTCCTTCAAATACCAACTACATTATAGAGCATGAAATAGATGTCCCCCCCTCCCCCAGAAGCAGCCAGCGGCTAATTCTTTTCAAAGAAAATCAAGCGAAAAGTAGGATTTGTAAACGTACGGTGATGACAAGCAAGCTACGCATTTGGGTCCCAAATTGCACTAAAATCACATGGGGACACAGAAGCTTTTGAGGGACAATTGTTAGTGGAATCCCAAGTGGTAGTCTCTTATCGCAACAGTGCCCTGGTGATGTAACGTGCATTTTTGTTCTTACCCATGAGCCATCCTCTTAATTATAATTTAAATGTTTGATTAATTTTTCCTTGTCCTAATCACTGCTTTAATAATGCCGGGGGAGAGCATAATTGACGGAAAAAGAAAAAGAAAAAGAAGAGAATGGTTGATATATATTCTTGGATCTTGATCACTAGTATATATATATATATGTCAAACAAGAATCAAGAATCTTTCATGCAAAGATCTGCATGTTTGTCGAATGCAGGAATAAAGAAATTGCTTGGGCAGTACATCATTGAAATTAATTAAAAATTGCATCATGTTTCTTGCACAAACTTATTTTTGTAGATTAATTATTTATATGTAAAATTAGTTCCACGGTAATGGAAACTTGACCTCAGTCATTAGATAAAAGAAATAGAGGGAATGAGGTATATAGGTCATGAGTGAAATTTTGTGTGGTTAGAAATGCTCATGATTTCATTCCGGATGTCATGATTAAAGATTAGACAGAATAATTCTTTAATCTTTCAATAAATTCTCCCTCATACCGTCAATGTTATGAAAAAACCAGACAAAGGTAATATGAATTTTAATTATTATATATAAACTTAGAATATCCTTGAAAAAAGTTGAGAATAAATGCCATACGTGTGAGAAATATTATTGAGCTTTACACTTTGTTTCTGCACCAAAATACTACTTGACTTTCCTAAATAAGATTTAGCAATTGAAAGAAGATAACATTTTTAATCTCATGCCGACAGTATTTGTAGGCGGAATGGGATATGGACACTAGTATATGTGCTTCTTACCATTTTAATAAAGGAGCACAAATTCTAACAAAAAATAAAGGAGCACAAATCCATGGCCCATGTTAAAAATATTTATCTATATAAGAAAAATCAATTGGCATCAAAAGCTTTGTAGGAATCGAACTACATTCCCTTGAAAAAGATTATTTCCTTTCAATTCAACCACCACCCACAAAACTTCAATTAGCATCAAACCCTAAGTTTGTAGCTAAGGAATCAAACAACATTGGCTTCCACAAAGAGATTTATTTTCAATGGATAGTTTACACACGCATAAATAATTTGTCAATTGTTGATATATGTTAAAACACAAAATGAAATTCGCAAAAATGATCAGTTAACACTCGTTTGGAATTTCCCTTTTCACCATGTATAATCATTTCAAACTAAATAAAAAGTTGACATTTTTGGGGAAAAAAAGGTTGATAATTGGATTTCAAACAATAAACCTTATTAGGGCAACACTACATCTACATCACAAAAAAGGGCAAAGAACATTACCATTTGGGAAGGTTAGGTCTTTGCTCCTTGAAGCTCTAACCTAGTTCAGTAGGCTGATGTTGATGGTAGGTAGTGGGGTTACTACAGGCACACAGAAAATTCCATCCAGTGGGTTTGTCCCAGGATTAGCAGCAATACTAATAGTGGAAATCCATGTAGAAAGTAAATTAGGTTTAAGTCATAACAAGCACGAATTTTGAGCATTTGCTTTCATTTTCTTTCCTTTCTAGTGGCTTGTGGGAGCCAATCTGAAATGGATATCCTATTTTTCTATATCTTGTGTTTTAATGGGCGTTTAGATTTATAATTTAAGGTTCCATGGGTCTGCCCAGCCAATCACGTACGTAATATTTTACTAAGAATTTATCAAGTGAGTGGGATACTTGCTCCAAAACACTCATCCTCTACTTTGTTTTTCCTTTTCCTTTTTTTATACATTTCAATTCTTGTTTGGTGGGGGGTTTATTCTGTATATTTTTTCTTCTTCTGTGTCTCTACTTGACATGAAGATTCTAAGACTTGTACATGCAGTATATAATTGTATATCTTTGTAGGCATTTGTTTTGCTTTGTTTTCTTCGGCGTAGAATCTTGGGCCTTTGTTTTGTTTTCTACCTCCCGTTTCATGGTGTATTCAGAATAAACTTTTATTAATTCAACAAAGAGAAGCAATCCATATTAGACCTTATGCTTGGCTTCTTGTAGAGACTAGATATATATTTATAGTTCTTTTCTTTATCTGGAAAGGTTTTATTTTTTTGCTAGGAAAATATTTTATAGTTTAAGGACCTCATTTTGACTTTGATTTTTGTTTTTGGTTTTTTCTAAAGTCTAAGTTGTGATAAGCACATATGGTAACAATTTTTTTATGGAAAAAAGTTATTTTTTTTTTATCTACGTAGTTTGCCGGTTTCATCATTTTGGACCTTGTAGTTTCAATTGTGTCATTTTTATCCTTGTAGTTTTCAATTTAGAGCAATTTCAAGACACGTCTCAATTTCTTTCAAATTCCTCCCAATTCTATTACATTTTGAGCACGTGCCCCTCATGTGGAGGAATACATTTTTGCTCATTGCTTTAATCCAATGTGTATCATCACCACAATTCTTAACACTTGACACGTGTCCATATGCATAACCAATGGTTTCATAAATACAAAGTAACAAATTAACCATAGTTATGTTTATGAACTATTAAGAAGGGTGGTGAGAATACACATTCAGTTAAAGTGGTGAGCAAAAATATTTCCCATGTGGAGAGGTAATTTAGCCCACTCAAGAAACCAAATCAAAATGAAAAACAAACCGGTTAATTTGGGTTTAGACTTTGGTTTTATTAATTTCTGTTTTGCGGCCCACCGTTGTATCGTTTAACGTGTGGACTTACAGAGAAGCCCACTTAGCAGTTTAAACTTTTGAATACCATATTCTCTTCCCTCTCAAAAACTCTCTATATGAAAAGAGAGACCACCAAGTGTTCGCGAAAATGCCCGAGAGAGACTCCATAGTCAACACACCACAACAAAGCATAACTCTCCGAAGGTCTCCAAGATTTCTTCAACCCAAGAACACTCTAGAACCAGAGAAACCCCCCAAGACTCTCCGGAAGTCTCAGACGCTTGTCCACCGTGAAAAGAGCGCTTCAGAATCCAAAAACTCGAGAACCGCCAAGTCCAAAAGAAAAAGCAGATCTGTTGTTCGCTCTTCGAGCC